GATTTGGGCGCCTGGGTGGCTCAGATGGTTAAGCGTCTGCCTTCTGCTCAGGTCATGATCTCAGGGTTCTGGGATTGAGTCCCACATTGGGCTCCCTGCTCCTTGGGAGCCTGCTTCTCCCTCTGCCTTTCTCTCTCGCTCTGTCTCTCAAGAATAAAAAAAAAAAAAAGAGTCAGGATTTTTCACAAGTCCTCCAGGTGATTCTGATGGGCAGGCAATATTATAATATTGACACTACCTCTCCCCAGTTAGAGACACTCCAAGACATAACTACACAGAGTCAGCTAGACAAAGAGAGGTAAAATCAAAGGCAAACGCTGAGGCAGGGGTGCCTGAGGCCTAGGTCCAAACCCCATCTACCTATATATAGCTCCATTTCCTTTCCTTCCTATCCCCTCTCCCCCGACCCCGGAGGCGGAGTAACCGCGTTGCCTTGCCCGGTGACAACCCTAAAGACTCTGAGGCTGGGAGAGTAGGGGAGCATCTGGAGGGCGGGAGAAGACACGGCCTGGGACTGGTCTGGGTGTTCAGGGAGGACCCCCAAAAGGAGGAACTCTTCCGGGTCAGAGTTTGAGGTAGCATTTGTGCCACTTTCAGGAGGCCGGAATGGAGACAGCTGTTCGAGGAATGCCTTTGCAGTGCCCTCCTAAGCCGGAACGACTCAACGCCTATGGTAACAGTTGGTGGGGGCAGTAGTGGGGTAGACCAGAAGGACGATGGGATGGGACCTGGGGGATGCGGCAGAAGCCAAAGATAGGGGTGTAACCCTGTCTCCTCTATCTGTCCATGTTTTTGTTTCCATCTCTTCCTATCTCTGACCCTGTCCCTTCCCTTTCCTGTGACTCTGTATCCGGGTCTCCCCGGCTTGGGTCCGCGGGAGCAGAGCGCGAGGTGGTGGTGAACATGTTGAACTCGCTGTCACGGAACCAGCCGCTGCCTCACATCCCGTCCCGATGCGGGTGTGTGGATCCTCTGCCCGGCCGCCTGCCCTTCCAGGGTTATGAAAGCCCTTGCTCCGGCCGCTGCTACTGTCTACGTGGGATGGACTACTACGTCACCGGAGCACCCTGCACAGAACGCCGCTTCCGGCCTTTGTGCAAAGAGCAGCCGACTGTAAGGTTCGCAGGGCCGCTCCCGCCTTAGGCAGGCCCCGCCCGAAACAAGCCCCCCCATCCCACCCCCCCCCACCCCCGCGAGTCCAGCCTCACCCCAGCTGTGCGCGCCCCATCCCTCACCAGTTCCAGCTCTGCTCTGCCTCTATGCCAGACCCTACCCCGGCTCCCGCCGCCTCTATCCCCTTACTGGGCCCTGTCCTGTCCCGCCCTCCGGCCCCAGGGCCTGAGCTGACCGCTGAGACCGGAGAACCTGCATTAAGGTTCCCCCAGGTTCCCGGCCCTCTCCGTCCCGAACTGGGCTCAAGGTCAACCTAGCTCTGGAGGCCCCGCCAGAAGGTGGGAGTTTTCTTTGGTTTTTGGTTTTTGTTTGTTTGTTTGTTTGTTTTGAGGAAGAAACCCCACACACCAGTCACATCCCTTCCCCACACCTGGTTCCCTACCTGGATACCCGGCCCTAGAGACGCAGGTTCTAGCCTCTGGAGTGCCAGGTGTCCTCAAAAAAGCGGCTTCAGTTCCTGGGTCTCAGGTCACCGTCGATAATGGGCAGGGTCATTGCCGGGTGTTATGTGAGCAAGGAAATGGTAACCGTATTACCAGAGGGGTCCTGGCTTTAGAGCCCCACACCACCTCTGAAGGTAGACAGCCTAGCGTGTTACTGCTGAGGAAACTGAGGCCCAAGCGCTCAGCTACAACCCAGACTGCGGCACAACCTTTCCCCTGCACCAGGTGGCAGTCAAGGCGGGCCAAGCCCGGGAGAACTCCAAAGTCCGCGTCGGTCTAGAGAGCTTGTGGAGGAAGGGGGCGGGGGGGGGGGGGGGGGGTCCCTAGATCCTGCCCCTACCCCACGGTGATTCCCCCCGCCCTTCCCCGGGCAGAAAGTCTGATTAATTGTGCGAGGCAGAGTCTCATCCGTCACCAGGGCAGGGGGGAGCGAGAAAGTGCCTGAGCCTTAGAAATGTCGTTAGTGCTGGAGTAATTGCCCTCCAATGGAGAGGACCCGGGGGCTCCCAGCTCTTCAACGACTGGAGCCCCCCCCCCCCCCCACACACACAATCCAGCGTACTCCCACAGCCCAGCCTGGGCGGCGGAAACCAGGCCTAACGAGGATAGGGATTTTCAGGTATCTTCCCAGAGGGGAAGCTTCGATGGGGTCTTGAAGGGCCAAGAGGCCCGAGGGGAAGAGCGCCGCTCAGAGCCCTAGTCTGGGTTTTGAGGCCCGACCTCTCCCTGCCCACCACTTCCTCCTCCAGGAGTGTATTGCCCTACGAGCACCCGCCCGGAATGCAATGTGCTGTTATAACTCCCCCGCCGTCATACTACCCTTGTCCGAACCTTAGGTAAGTCCCGCGCAAATGGCGTTTGGCGCAGCGGGGCACGCGGGAACGAGTCGGGGCGGGAACTGTCCGCTGCGATGCACTGAGTAGAAAATGCCACCAGGGGGCGCGAGTGTCATGGGGTCGTCCAAGCTGGCAAGGGACTGGAGCACCCTCCATGAGAGGGCGTTGAGGCTGACCTCCAAGGGTTACAGGTTGGCAGTGGGGCCCAGAATCAAGAGATCAGGGCATTAGGTTCAGGGCTTGAAGTAGAGGATAAGAAATTAATGTTATGGAGCCAGTATTGGGAATCAGAAATTTAACAGTAGAACCTGAGGTCTTAGGAGGTCAGTGTTGGAGCATGGGGTCAATATTAGGGGCAAAATGTTGGGATACCGTTAGCATTGAGAATTGGAATCAGACCTATGAGGGTCCGAAAGGGCTGACCCATTTCTCCCCACAGATGGGACACAAGTCACTTCAAGAAGACCGGTGGCCCCCAGAGAAACAACTATGTTGTCCACCCTGAGTTTGTGTCTGAAACCTATCCTGACTGCTACTTCTGGTAGACCCCAGGCTGGCGGGGCCAAGGGGGCTGAGCAGTAAATAAACTCTTCGCCCCAAAGGCTGCCTCCTGAGTCCTTACGCCCACAGGATCTGGCAGTGAGGAGCCAGTCACTCAGGCCCCTGCGAAGCCCCTTCAACTGAGGTGCATTTTCTTAGTCATCCTGCCCTGAGCCCTTCTTGCCCCCATATCTCAGTACTTCCCTTGGGTGGCCCTGAGTGCCCTCCTGACACATAACAATGGTTGGTGTCCTCCCTCCACCCAAACTAATGGGTCTACCTAGCCATGCAGGGCCACCCCAAGAGGACCCTCCAGCTGACATTTGTTCAGTATCCCCCAAACCTAGATGTTCCCTCACCCCCCCATCTCAGTAGACGCAGAGTCTTTCATTCTGCAGAGACCTGTCCCTGTCCCCAAAGTTCTTGATCTCTGCTCCCAGAGTCTCCATCACAGCCCTGAAAAAGTCTATGTTCAGACATCCTTGCTGCCCTCCCTTACCCAAGTTCAAGAGTCTAAAACATAATTTTGGAAGGTTTCATGACTAAGAAACTCAAATTACAAAGCAAAGCCCTCTTTCTCTGTCCCTCCAGAAATAAGAGGTGAGGTGTTCTGGAATCTCTGGGATCTTTAGTATTTTTGCGCCCAACTCCTCCTCGGATGGAGCAGGGGTATGGTGGGGCACATTTGCCACCTCACAGCACGGGCATTTCTAATGGTGTCACCATGGGGTGTGTGTTGCAGGGGGAGATCAGAGGGGGCATTGCAAAATACTGAGGTCCCCAACCTCAGATACTACTGGTCTGGTCCGGTGGGAACCGACAACTTGGGCCTCCTGTCTGGTGGAACTAGGCTCCTTTTGTGAGGTCTTTGATTGGATCCACCCTGCACTGAGCCTCCTCTGTGATCCGCCCAGAACTCCGCTACCCTTTTTCTATATGAGAGAACTTTTTCCATATGGGAAACTTTTTCCACATGAAGAGCTAATGAGAGCAGTATACCAAGATGGCCTCCACCTGCCCAAATCTGGAGGGAAAGGAATCCCAGTAGCCAACCCTACCCCCTTTACCCTGCCTCTCTCTCCTCCTCATACACATCCCAAATTTAGCCTAGAGGTGCGAGAACCCCTACACTCTACAATTGCTCCTTTCTCCAGAACTACATGTCCCAGAAGGCCTAGGGCAGAGCCCCGCTAGCATGCAGTAAGCAACGGCCCAGCGGGGGCGGGCCTGCAGGCAGGGGGCGGAGCCAGGAGAACTCTGGGGTGGCCTGCCAGAGTTGCCCGGAGGTGGGCACAGAGCAGTGGGAGAAAGGTGGGGGCTAAGGGGTGGGACCTCAAGTCCGCGTGACAATGTGGGAGGAGGGCTCGAGCGCCAGGGGCGGGGCTGGACTCCGAGGCCCGAAGCGAGACCGAACGACCGGGGCGTGGCCGAGCAGCAAGGGGGCGGGTCCCGAGGAGGGCCTCAGCTGTTCCCAGCTAGGCAGCGCCCCGCGCCGCGCCGTGGCAGCCCAACTCCGGCTAGCTCGGAGGGAATCTTCGGGAGCCTCCCTTCACCCCCACTTCTGGGGTCACTGCCGTGAGTGAGCCCAGGGGGAGGACCTTGGGGGGTTGCTGAGGAAACACACTTCTTGAACTTTCGCTCCTACTGATGAGTAGGGGGTACGAGGCTGGACACCTGGGCCCCTCCTCAAGCCGCGGTTCCCAGCGGGCGGCCGGCCCTTTGACCTCAGTCTGTCCCTTCGGACATTGTAGCTGTAGCGCTGGGGTGGGGGTGGAGTATTCCAAGCTGTAGGCGCAGTCACTCGATCCTCTCTGATCTCGTCCTTGGGGAGGGCAGGGAGATGGGCTGGATCGAGTTGCCTTTGACATTCCCCCCCTCCTTGGAATTATGTTCGACAAACGACTCAGCTTGGCATGGCCTCCCCGCTTTGGGGCCGGGCCGGGCCCTCCCCCTCAGATCCGGCTAGGGGCTGGCAGCCAAGACCGAGGTTGAGTGTCAAGTGGGGAAAGGTTTGGCTAGGGCAGACCCCACCTGCCGGCATTAACCTGTGGTTAGCCAGATGACGGAGGCGGCAGATTACAGGGGTCTCTAGCGCTGTTAACACAGGAACCAGTTCCTCCTCCACAGCCTCGGTCCCAGATACCATTAAAATTGCCCTTTTCTCACCCCAAGGAGCCTTTCTGGAGCAAGCAGCAGCACCAGCCCTTGAGAAGATAGGCTTCACTGTGCACACACCCACCTGATGGGGAGCCTGTCCCACCCTCTGACTCACAAAGCTCCTTTCCTCTGCTGCATTCAGACTGCCAGTCAGACCATTTATCTCTCATCTCCTAAAAATTATGCTGTGGAGGGTTAAGCTGGGATTTCGGATTTAGGCAACCTTGCCACCTAGTAACTTCAAACAAGTTCCTTTTTCTGTTTGGGCTAGTTTCTTCGACTGTAGAATGGGCACTACAGCTATGCCTCTTGTTCAGTATTATTGTTAGGGTTGGACGCTGTGGTGGCATTTGAGAGACCAGCACAGGGCCTGCATGGAGTGGGCGCCCAAGACTGTGGGCCCCTGTCCTTCACCAAAAAACCTTGGAATCCTAGAACATTAAGATTCTCAGAACCTATTGGAAATGGCTTTTGAGGTCATCTTGGTGGCCTCTCCATGCCTCCAGTGTCATGAGATGGGCTGACTTAATATGAAAGTTTTGAGGATGAGGGGTTCTCTGTCCTCTTCAGATATGGACCCTTACCCCTTATTCCCTCAGTGTCCAGGATGGGGCCTTGGTTGTCCTGAATGAATCAATATAAGTATACAGCAAGTCTGGCCTGGACCACCTAAGGCCACCTTTGGGTTCTGCTGAGCTTGAGGGCGTCAGCTAAAAGCTACTGTGTGCATTCTGCAGGAGGGCTTTTCTAACCTGTACCCACAGGTAGGGGATGCAATAGAGGGGTGGAGGTTTTGAAAGCTAAGTTGTATGGGATGAGAAGCAGGGAGTAAGAGGCTGTTCCAGACCAGCTGGAACTGACCAGCTTAGGAATTTAGGGGGAGGGAGCACAGAGAATGAGGCCCTAAGACAACACCTCCTTGGAGGGGGGAGGCATTGTAGTGAGCTGTATATTGATATCTGAGATAAAAATTCTGGTCTGCACCTGTCATTCTTTTTTTTTTTAAGATTATTTATTTATTTGAGAGAGAGAGAGAGAGAGAGATCATGCGCAGAGGGGAGGGGAAGAGGGAGAAGCAGACTCCCCACTGAGCAAGGAGCCCAACGTGGGACTCGATCCCAAGACCCTGGGATCATGACCTGAGCTGAAGGCAGACGCTTAACCAACTGAGCCACCCAGGCACCCTGCACCTGTCATTCTTGATGATAGTCTCTTCGTGGGAGAGGTGGGGGAGGTGAGAACCCTGAGCAGTTCTGGCATCTCCTTGGGAGTAGCTGAGGACTTAGAGACAGACACTGGCATCTGGGAGGAGGCTAATTACTGTTTGCCAGTCTCCCTCTCTCCTTCCTCCCAGCTGGAACAGATGGGCAGCTGGCTGGCTGGCAGCATGTATGTCTGTGTGTGCACCTGGCTGGTGCTATTTCTTTGTTGAACTCCGCCCCCTGAGGGCTGAGATATGGTCAGTGGCCTTGGGCAGCAGATTGGGACACACACTGCCACCCCCCCGCCAAGTCTATGGGGTTTTTTCTGCAGTCATATGTTTAACATACAGTATATGAGAGTCTATGTGTGCAGTAGGGGGTGTCCACTCCTTGGAGAGCTGATAGGTGGGGGAGAGACATTGGTTCAGTGTGGGTAGGTGAAAGTTCATAGAGCAGATGGCTGAAGGATTTAGGTTAGGGAAGGAATGAGCTTGGTGATCATAGGATAGGCCTGGCTGGAAATGGAATCAGAAAAGCAGATGAGACCACATCATGCCTTGACCCTCAATTGCAAAGCTTATACTTCTGAACTTAAACCTGGGGGTCATGCTCTAAAATAGGAAGAGATACTGTCTCATAAAGTGCTTTAAAAAGATCACCATGGTTGCTGTGAGCATTGGAGAAAAAGAAGGTGGAAGCAGGGAGGCCTATTGGGGAAGTACTGCAATGATACATGGGAGAAATGACAGTGCCCAAAGTAGGGCAGGGGCAGAGGAGAGTGGGTGCGTAGTGGAGACAAAGCCAGGAGGTAGCTGGCCAACAAATGCGTTGCCAGGAGGAGAGCAGGAAGGTTGGTGGGGAAATGGACTTGGTGATCAATTGCTGAGAACAGTGTCGAGTTTGAGAGCAAAGAGAGGGTGACCTGAGAAGTCACCATGGCCACCATGCTAGACTTTTTACACCAGCCCTAATGTACAAACCCAACCCTGCCTCTCTCCAAACCAGGCCCATGACTGCATCTGGCTTTGGGTATCTTCTCTAATCTCCAGATTTAATCTGGCTTTTGACTCAAGATTAAATTCCATGCCTGAGATGTTCCCCCTTCCTCTCTCCTCTCCCCCTGCAGGGACAGGAAAACCAGCCTACTGCCCTGTTAAAGATCTTAAAGAGCTGGCTGGATTATCTTCCCTCTCCCACCATGGCCTTCTCCAGACCCCTCGCCTGCTCCTCAGCCTGAACTGCCCCCATGTATGATCCAAGGAAGCCTGGCTAATTCTGTGATCCTAGACAGCTCCCTGACCCTGTCTGGGTTGTTTCTCCACCAGGAAAATGGGGATGCATGCCATCTGCCCCTCCCCAATCAGAGTCCTGACTAATTTTGGCAAAAACTGGCGCTCATGAGAAAGAGTGGTTTAGAGGGGAGAGCATGTGCTATGGTGAGCGCTGTGAATTGTGTAAGACTGTTGAATCACAGACCTGTACCCCTGAAACAAATAATACATTATATGTTAATTAAAAAAAAAAAAAAGAGTGGTTTAGACACATACAGATGGTCCTGGTAAGGGTCAAGCCTTTATGTCCCAGACCTTATATCCCAGAATACAACCTTCCCAAAATATACACTTCCTCTTTCTGATGCAGCAAAGGGAAATACTGTGGAATGAGAAAGCTCAGTTCTACTTCTCTCTTCCCCTTCCAG